CAGTCCGAAATGCTGGTCAGCCTTGTGACCATCCGAGAAGCATAGACTCACAAAACAGGAATGGAAAAAGTGGTCAACGAGATACTACCAAGGCTTCCTGCCAAAAACGTATATGCTTCGGACTGCGCCATTCTCTTTGGTCAGCATCACACATTTATGGTACATGTCGACTAACTGACTTTGAGTGGGTCAGAATGTGTTATTATAGTAATGATTGGCATGTATGTGATGGCAATAATTGAACCGACAACCCACAACTTGAAGTGGAGACTGTGGAACCAATTTTGCTGACCGGTAGTACTTGCATTGATGAGGAAGTACCAGAAGCACAGCTCTGAAAATAGATAATCAGATGAACGCATAGTGTTGGTCCCGGCCAGAGAATCAAGGGATCATCACACCATACCTTCCAGATGAGTGATCCTAGTCCCAAGCGTAAACATCTGAATGGCGCGCATGTGTAGAACGAGCTTATACTTACATTTCCAAGCTCCATGCGATGGAGAAACACAACATTAAGGGGAGATTGAATCTTCGAGCGAGGGGACTCCATAATTCAATCGGCTTTGGGACGACTAGGTGTAATAAATTAGATGTGGGGTCGATGAACTATTGCCTTACTGTTGTGGGAAGGAAGCACGACAAAGCCTTCATAGTACTTGATAGACGCAAAGCCAATAGTGAACGCTCCCATTAACGGTATTGTCAATAGATACGAGTACTAGCGGGGTGCGGTCAATGTCCTGTCAGTCACAAAAATCATTATTGAGCGCACCGTCATGAAGCGTTTGAACGCCCCAGAGGTTGCATTCCATCTGTATGGACAAGAATTGCCACAGATACAGGCAACACGGTCAATCTTGCTTACCTTAGGCACTTGAATTGGTCAAATGACCACAGGTGGAAAATGAGGAACGTCCCCATCTGCGCAGTTCTTCGTGAATTGTCAAGTACATATTATGGATAGACTCACCAGGATTGTCAGGATGGCCCATACCAATAGACAAACAGGCGAAAGATGGGACATGGGAAGTGATATTCGGGGGGTCTAGCAAGCAAAGTCCCAGCCAGACAAGTTGTGTGGGAAGGAATAACGAGGTCTCGAATCAGGAAGAAGTGGATAATCAAAGCCAGCCTTAAATAGATCGAGCATAATTCTGGCGTTTCCACAAGAAGGGTTGACGTCAGGACAGGACTAGCAGTATGGCTGTGATATCCACAAATGTCAATAGCTAATTTATGGAGAATCATATTCATGTGATTCGCTCAAGGAACCAGACAGCGGAGGAATGTGGAATGTGATCTAAGACATCAGCGCTGGAAGCACGGCACAGTTTAAGCTTGAAAATAAAAGATGGCCATGTCATAAACAGTCATCTTGAAACTCCGATGTCCGACGGACCAAAATAATATGTACCATGGTAAAATCAATTACCTGGCGCAGATGTCGTTATCTTTGCGTTATCTTTTGTACAAAATCAGGCGTCGTTTGATATTGATTGGAGGGCGCTTCGGTTTGAGGTAAATTAAGAACGTTATCTATTGCAAGGGTGTGCGAATCTTCAACCCGATGGACTAGATAACCACGGGTGATATTGCACTACTAGTATTTCACGTCTTGTTTGTCTTTCCACCCTCAATAGTTGCATGAATAGTAAAGGTCTTCACTGACCGGTTGATTGTCTGCTTCACGCTCTTTCGTTGTCGAGACTGCCTTATTATTATTCCCTCTCTCTCTGTGCTTCAATCCAAATTGGAGCATTGGATACCAACGCGTAACGATCATAGAGTTGATACGATTTACATATGTCCGGTAACAGCCTGAGGAACATACGGTTCCTCCAAATACTTCATTTCTTCCTCTGTCAACTTCATATCCGCCACCGCTAGCCATTAATAGCCTATGAGAGTCTGTTCCACATCAAACCAATGGGGCTACACTTACCAATGAGTTCCTCCAAATTCTTCAGCCTGGTCGTACCTACAATTGGGGCAGTGACGCCATCCTTTGAAAGGGACCACAAGACAGCGATTTGGGCCATCGAAAGATTTTTCTTCTTCGCAAGTTCCTCGACGCTTTGAGGTAACAAAGTTAGTTTGAGTTTCACCAACAAATGAAACGTATGGTACCGCTTCATAATCACAGGTGTCCCAGCGCCTTTGAGATATCTTTTTATGAACCTTTTCACGAAGTAAAGTTAGAAGAAAGAGAAAACGAGAAGATACGACGCACCAATCTGTCTCCCCGCGCTTGGTCTGCTCCTCTAACGGACGAGTGAGGAGCCCGCGTGCGAGTGGGGACCAAGGAATAGCACCGACGCCAAATAACTATGCAAGTTGATGAATTGAACCATAAAAAGAGGCAGTAATATTGATAAGGAGAGAATTGGCAAGAAAGGGATGGAAAGACGTACTTTGAGCGTAGGGAACATCTCCCTCTCTTCTTCGCGATACAACAAACTATGGTGATTCTGCATTGATATGAACGGCGTGAGGTTGTGTGTAATAGCATAGTCTGTTAAGCAATGAATCGACTAATCAGTTTGGCTGTGGACTTAGGTAAAGTGATATTGGTACTTTGCATTTGGTGGACTGTACAAAGAGTCTCCAATGAGTGAAAATGGAAGGAGAAGGAACAAGAGCGACAAACACTGATAAGCGTGGCACGAGCTCATGCCGATATAGCGCACATATCCAGCCTTAACGACGTCGTGGAGAGCTTGCATCTGTTTGAATCCAAATCAGTATAATAAAACAAGACGAGTAATGGATACACACAGTCTCTTCAATAGGTGTTTCATAATCAAACCGGTGGCCTTGGCGCGAGGTCAATAGATGGGGGTGATATAAACATTAATGAACGTACATTGTAACATGTCAATATACTCCACTCCGAGGCGCTTGAGACTCGCTTGTACCGAGTCAAAGATGTGCTTTACCCCGCTGCATCAAGAGTTGAAAAAAGTAGAAACACAGAGCTCCGAACCTTTCGACTCAACCCATGCTGGTTAACATATCCAACCTCGTCGGGCTCCACACCAGAGGCGATAAAGTTTGTTCCATATTCGCGTGCGACCGTGCCATGCACCTACGATATAATCGGGTAAAAGTAAATACTGCCTATTTGAGACTGGCAGGACAGATACAAACCTTTGTGAGAATGACGATTTCTTCACGTGGGAGTTGCAGCTGTTTGATGGCTTTCCCAAGGATAATCTCCGAGAGACCATTCGAGTATACGTTCGCAGTGTCAAATGTTTGGATGCCTGCTTCGTATCTTCAAGTATTGGAAATTTCATTAGCTCCATTCAGTGGGTGACAACACGGAAAACCAACGCAAATTTGATATGCTTGATCGCCTCTTCCTCTCCCAAGACCCAATGCTGCCATTCCGGGTCACCATATTGCATGGTCCCAAGGATTATCCTGGATACTTTCAGGCCAGAGTTGCCGAGACGAACTAGACGGTCAATCAGTACCTCGTAATATTGAGAAACAATAGTAAAACATGCCGTAAGAGATCCTAGACTTGGGCTTCTCTGCTCTTGCTGCTGCCATATTCTGTCTCTCAAAAAGAAGATGAAGGTCGATATGATAGTGCTTTATGTATGTTACTAAGATTGCAACCTTCGATTACGCTTGCCTTATGATGCAAGCTCATGCGGGGTGCCGGCGGTGTGCCGCAGCAATGATCAGGAAGTCGAAGATCAATAGCGGATCACGTAGACGACGATAAGACTATTTTTCATCAGTGTCACCCACGATCCACAAGTTATCCTTCTCAGACCTTGATAAAACAACATTCTGTGCGGGAAATGCGTCGAACACGTCCATTTTTGAAGAATGATCATAAAGGAATTCGAAGCACGATATAAGATCGTTTTACGGTGAGAAGACAGAATGGAAGGGAGAATGTCGGTGCATAACAATACCTCATCTACTAGCTCCGAGTAGAGAACTCATGTCGATGCAAAACCAGATAACTGGGTCGATTACTAAGCAGGAAGCTGTCCAATTTTGGCAGAACCTAGAAAGGTGATTTATTCCACACTCATTGACTGCCAGCACGAGCTTGCGTATCTAGCTTGAAGCAAATCTCGCAGATCCTATGTCAGTTGCAACATTGAAAGCTCGAGCTCCTTTTTCGGACGATAAGTACTACAGTAGGATGTTCCGGACCGGCAAAACCCATTATGAAACGTAAGAAGCGAAGAGCTTCTCTCCTTCCCGGTTGAGAGCCGCCACCTTTCCCGGACCACTTGCAGCTCTTAACTTCTGTTTGCATATATGCAAAGCGTCTACTTCTACTAACCATGAAAGTCCATTATCGTCCCGTTTTGACTCTGACTATCTGGTGGCGACAACAGACAATGTCTCGCTGACTTTGTTTAATGTAGACATACACACACAGGAAATCCACCCTTACAAAAGTATGACAGCCCATCAATGTCATTCGACGAGGAACACTGCCATGAAGAGGACGAAAATTCAAGGAGTTGTAACTGGGGTTGTCAAAAACTAGACAGACCTCGTGAGTCTCGCGTCATCTTCACAGGCAAAAACCACATCGTATACACAGGTAATTTCTCACTTCCTCTAGCGATGAGCCCACGTATTAACCCTAAGTGGTAAGTCTATTCTGTTGATTCGTCAAACTGAACGACTTCACCTGGTGTTTTCAGATGGCGGCAACGACATTTCCTCAACCACTTCGTTCGTTCATCGACAACAACTCTGTATATAATGCGACGCATTCTCATCATAGTCCATCAGCATTGGGTTCAGATATTACGATCGCTGTCAGTCAAGCAGTAAATAAAGAGGACTGGGCTGAAAGATATCACACTCGCGAAGGACTAGAGCGTGTAAACAACTGGAAAAGTCATGAGGGAGCGGTGCCAAACGCGGTATGTCGCTCGTCACTTTTTCGCTTTCAATTCCATCGAGTTTATGCCAAAGCACTAGGCTATAGAGCTACGGCATTGAGTACCTTTAACCAATCGGGTATGGTGTAACGGCTAACATTGCCGCCTTTCAAGTGGTTCTTCACGTGGCAGCTCGGGGTTCGATTCCCCGTACCCGAATATCTTTTTAGTTTTCATGATTTGCCACAAACTTGAATATCCTTACTAACTTTCAACCTGATTATATCAATCAGGTGATGGTCCGTGTTCCCGATTCGACCACGTTCCCACCGCGTGAACGCTTGCTTCCTCGTAGCCATGAGTACTGAATTCCCCTCTCGCAGCGAATTCTGGTACGATGATGGGTCCATCGTTCTTGTTGTGGGCGATACGGCATTCCGTGTTCACAAGTCGATTCTGAGCCAGCATTCGGATGTCTTTGCAGATCTATTCACCGTTCCCGAGCCGCCCAAGGGGGAGTTAGACTTCATGGATGGCTGCTCTGTGGTTCATTTGCAAGATGATTTGAAAGATTTTGAACAAGTCATGCAGGCAATTTATCAGCCGTTGTAGGTGGTTAACCTTTAGATTTTCGGATTCTCCATAGACACCTCACACATTACCTGCGGTGCAGTTACTTTGATAAATTACCTCAAGACGCCGACTTGCGGAAGCTTCTCGGATTCATCTCTGGAATCCTCAAGATCAGTACAAAGTACAATCTTGCCAAAATACGCCAGAAGTGCATAGACATTCTGCGTGACAAATTTCCAACTACGCTCTACGGATGCGACGAACTGGTCTCTTCGGGATACCAGTACAACGCAACCACTGTTGTCAGCGCCATCCCTCTCGCGCGCGAGACCAACGTTCCTGAAATTCTTCCATGGGCATTCTATATCTCCACCAACATCGAAACCGACGCGCTCCTTGCCGATCCTGTCCTCTCCTGGCGAGATAAAGCGCTCTGTTTGGCGGGAAGATCACAGCTATGGGAACGCCAGAAGGAGGATACGCACAAATTCCTATTTGATTTCGTCAAGGCGCCGGACTGCCGCCATGGGTGTAGCTTACGATTGCAGCAGATGACATGGAGACATATGGAGGAGTTGAGGAAGAGACCTCATCCGTTGCACGAGTATGATAATTGGGATTCGTTGGGGGTTTGTACGTCTTGCTTACAGCGTGTGCAGGATCAGCATGCGAGAGGACGAGAGAAGGTATGGAATGACCTGCCGAAGATATTCCATCTCGGGACCTGGAATGAAATTCACCAGGAGCAGAATCGATGATGAGATTCTAGTTGTGGCATTGCATACTAAATGGTTTGTACTTGGTCAGAGCAAGAAATATGAAAAGGGTGCACCAGGTTCCGCTATGATAAGACCACTATCGACTCCAACGACCTGATTGTATAAAGTGTCCAATGATACCCCCATCCTGAAGAAACAAGACAGAAACACTTTTAACGCTTCGAATTCCTGGAATGCACGTCAACTTGGAATCTCCAAGCTAGATGCAAACATTTAGATTTGGCGTGCATTGGCCGCGAGATTGCAAGACAGATGAAAGGCAGAAAGCCAAACGTGTTTGTTTTCGACAGGGAGGTGAATCGAGAGCTGATCTACAGATTGAGATTCGATGTCGCGAAGCGAGTATGCCATGAAATATGATTCGAGCGCCTAATACCTTGCGTGTATTGGATAGAGAAGAGTGAGTATGGAATAGAACGATCAATGAGTGAGGATAGATGAACTTGAAATTTTCCGGATTCTTACAGGAGCACCAACCTTGGTTAGCCAGTCGCTTCATATATCCCTTTAATCATCCTCATCTTTCGATAGTATTTTAACTCCAAGTGACGAATGACGAGGTAACAGAAGCACATTCTCTGGATCTCTATATCTTCTAGGCCCGAGTGGGCAAACTATGAGATGGTTAAAAGGTACGTCTTCTCTACGTGATGCCTTTTACTGAAAAAAGTTCTCAGGGTATTTTCTATCGTATCTACTATCATTACATTGACTTTGCAATACCCCCGTCCTTACGGCCGTCGGATCTAGACAAAGGTGCAGTGGACTTTGCGCTATGAGCATCGTGGATTGTGCTGGGGAGAGACGAGACATACGACAGGGTTCAGGGTCCCTTTTCTCGCGATATCAGAAAGTCGGTAAAGGGAAGAGCTCGGTATTCATACCTTGTACTTTACTTTCTACGCAACTTCGTGTCGTTCTCTCGTGGTTGCCAGCATGATCACGATTTTCAATGGGCGGGGGAACGTAGTCTCTCTGTTGGTGCAAAAGTATCGTCATAATAGCATGGTAGCAGTGAAACCCTTACAAGTCTTGTATCATTCTCGCGTATTATTTTTCGAATGAGATTGGATGCATGCCAAGTTGTTGCAATGATGAGACGTCGAATGAAGGACATGGTATATCCTGCGTTGTAGGTCGCGTTCAGGTGCGTGCATTTTATAGTGCAGAGGCGGCCCCAACATCCGTGTGCGGAGAATGCGAGATTGGGGCGGGGACATGGATTATACAAAGACCGTTTTGCATGAGAAAAAAACCGCGAGGTCGCCGTAGGAAACACGTTTTGCTGCCTGAGGAGACAAACAAGGGCACCATTGCCATTATCGAGAAAAAAAGAACGCGATGGGCGGAGACAGAAGACTTCTCTGGGTCGTGCAAGGGGAGGAAAAACACGCGAGATCACCGCAGGAAACACATTTTGCTAGCTGAGGAGACAAATCAAGTGCGCCATCACTGTCCATTATCGCGAAAAAAGAACCTGATAGGTGGAGACAGAAGACTTCTCCCAGTCGAAAGCATGGAAAATGAAAGCGCAGATCCTGGGAAACAGATCGTATTCGTCAAAGCTTCGAGTCTAACAGAACATACATGCACGGCGATGCTCCATGGATAAAGTTGCGCCAAGTTCCCGGCAGAGAACGTCGAACTTGTCCTTTGATGACTATTTGTATTTCGAACCTACATAGCAAGAAGACGGCGGGGATTGATTTACTTACGTGTTGGTTGGGTGTCCGTAGCCAAGGAGACTATCAAAAGAAGCTCGACCGTGGATTCCGACTTTGGCAATCTGTAAGGGCTTGTGATGGACTTGCTGGTGTGGTTTGTTGCGCCGTCCTTATAGACATCGCCGCACGCGAAAAGGCCTGATTATTCTCGCTGATAGACATATTCACTCGTACGTGTGACTATGACAAATTCAGCGTCGGTCTCTCCAAGTGTGAAAAAGAAGAGTGCTTGTTACGACACCCCTCGTCGCCTACACTCCATGACCGCTGTCCTGTCTTCTCACAGCTCCAAAAGCAAGCTAAAGCGTGACGCCGCGTCGGAGGGAAGCGTCGAATATCGTCGCACGAGATCAAGTCAGGCGTAAGGACTCGGCCTCTTGGATGCGGAGACAACAGTCTAGAACACCTGCTCGTTGCGAAAGATCGGCCTTGATAAGAATTGACGCCCTGTGAACCAGTCCGGCCATCAAGCAGGTCACCACCCAGTGTCTTCGGACTCGCACACTGCGTCCTAGCACCGAATACTCTGCGCCCTAGTTTCATCGCATGCGCGTTGTAGTAACCCTGATGATGTGGGCGTGATTGAAATAGAACTAGGTAAGCCTTTCGTGATGGAATAGTAATGGCCGCAAGTTCAACGACCTAGACGTGACACTTTTCATCATGGCGTATCTATACTTGTAAATCTGTTTCGGGTGATTGCAATGATTCTTGCACGAAACATATGCCAAAAGCAGAAGCAGTCGCGGCATTAGAAGCACCTATGTAGAAGCACTAGCATGGAAAGAGAATCATCGGACCGACGTCATGGTCAGAAAGTGGCATATTAGGTAATCGTGAAAAGAGGAGCCAGCTCGCAGCGTTCTGTTCGTGTTGCGTCGACTGCCTCCGCTCAGTCCCACACGTGACAAATCTGTTTCACAAGACGCGGCACGACACGACGTAGAAGAGAGTGAGTGCCAAGTTCATGTCATGCCATATGAAAGTAGGTGCAACTGGAAGAGAAGCTGAAAGACGAATCGCATGCCGTGAAGAGTGAGATTTCTCGTCCTGTGTATTAGCTTTGAATAGAATTCACACCTGAAGTTGGATCTACTGAGCGTACTATAAGCATATACGTACTTACTCCTTCGTCACAACCTTATCCTGCACATTGCGTCCAAATTCGGAGTATTTGCCTGCCGGTACCAGTTGCTACATTCTTGACGTCAAAAAGGCTGCTCAGCGAGCACTTGGGAAACCTTGATGATCATTTCGTCCTTTGCCTTTAGCTCCGCTGCGAAATATGCCTTGGCACCGCCCACGCCCTTCGTAGAAACTGTGTTTCTTATGCAGTCATAAGCAGTCGCCCCATCCTCCCGCCTAATTTGACACACGAAATCGTGATTCTTGTTATACACGAACAGTGGTCCTGTGACCGGCATTACCGTCTTCTTCTTATGGTCATATGGCAGCTGTACTTTGATGACCATTATCTTTCCGGTGGTGAGATTCTTTGGAATATGGGCAGTGCGGAAACAAGTTGGGGACGTTGTGTCTTCAACACCAAAAAATCGATTTCGATGGATCGAGAGGGGCATCATGTATCCACCCTGTTCGTAGTGCGGCTTGACAGCGACGATATTGTCTGCAGAAAAGGGCTGGCATGACTTTTTATGGGTTCCCCAATCTTTTTCTGTCAAAAACGTCATTATGAAAACACCTAAGAGTATGTTCGGCCTACTTTGGCACGCAACAGAACAGTACCGAGCGACATGACATCTGGCGCAGTTCTTCAAAGAAGAATCCGTCCTTCCGCAAGAATTGCATTGCTTCTCGTTCCTTGGCGCCTCCTGACCATTCCTCTTGCGTATCCATTTCTGAACGACAGCAGTAACTTTTGGTCCAAATTTCAGAAAGGTTTGACGTGGGGTCAAACCATTTGCTTCCGGAATGTCCAAGTCGGCCCCATACTCGAGAAGAAGTTCAATAGCGCTTGTATAATTCTTCTGGTAAGCTCCAAACAGTGGAACCTCTCCATAGCGATTTTGATGGTCAACGTTGGCACCGGACTTGAGGAGCTCACCAAGAAGATCGACTCTCAGAGACTGGCCGATAACCACATGGTGAAGAGCAGTCCAACCGGCGATGTCCGGTATATCGA